ATAACTTTTCTGTGTAATGCTTTGTCTGTCCTCTTCCTCCCATTGAAACTTAACCTATAAAAACTAAGACCTTTCAGGTTGCCTAGCTCTCGGAAATACATTCTTTTCCCCGTCTAATGATCCATTGAGAACATAATTTCCAAAAGGTTAGCCTTCATGCGCAAAATCCCTTCTAACTTCACCAAACCCAAACGCTTTACATTTTAAGTTTGTCAGAGGTTGTGTGTGTATTCACACACACACACAATCTCACAGATCTCTCTGTTGGGAATTGAGGTTTCCACCTCTACTGAGTGGCTGTATTTTCCCACCTTTTTCCAATAGCTTCTCTCTTTTGAAAGAATACTCTCCAAAACCTGAGTTTGTAGCTCTAAATAAAAATGTAAGACATTACTGTAGAGAGGTTTATGGTAAACTTTGGGTGTCTTGTAGAAAACCAGGTTTTGTCACAACCATTCAACATTCCATCGCCCGGTCTGCTGTTTCTGTTCTGTCTTCAATGGTTGTCAAGCCAGCTTACATTTCCAAATTCACTGAATTGTTGTACAACAATTTGATCTTAATTCAGATTTTGCTATGGAATTTTGCTAGGTATCTACTCAGAGGATGTCTAGTTAGTCTTCAGTGTGGTGGCTGTTCTTTTGAACTGCATGGTCCTAAGATGTGCTTTGTCAAGCTTTAGGTTATTCATGGCATGTTTTTGCTCTGTTGTGGAATTTTCATAAAACATTGTATTCATAATTATTTTTTCATCAGCTACTAACATAGCTATTACTACTAGCCTGATATGTAATGTGAAAGTTGTTGATTTAAGAACTTCACATTACTTCATATTATTAAATGATTTGGGAAGAAACAATGCAGTTTCTTGCATGCTTTAAATTTAATTGTGGTGTGCCTGTTACACTGCTTTTGAGTCAGAAATAAGTACCCCAGCTGCCTTTGAGCCAGTATTGATTTAGAATTGTTTCAGCATCCTGTGAATAGAAACTCTGTTTCACACATTAATGAGAAAGTCACCTGAGTGAGCATTAAGAACAAGGAGGTCAAATGCATGTTATAGCTCAAAGATGCTCTCTACCTCAGTAAATGTTTAACTAGCTGCTTAAAGTCTTGGCTCTACTTACGTGTTCACTAGGACAGATTCCTATTGGTAGACCTCTCATAGACATAGTTTATAATTGCCAAGGATTTCTTTTCATAGTACAGCTGAATTTGTATCCCTGAAAATAATAAGCTCTGCTATCTGAAGATAATTTTTTGCTAAAATAACTGTAAGTACATGAAAGCATTTGTCAAGAAAGCAGTAGGTAAGGGGGTTGTGTATGAAAAAATGCCACTAATCAATAGAGCTATACTCAGAAAAACATGGGGCCTGTGAAGTCCTAAGTTTTATATTAATGGCAGCAGCTTAAATTTTTAAAAGTGATGGCTGCAAAAGTAGCTAGTATTATATGTATACTTTAAAAATTCTGGTCCAAGTGTAAATTTATTGTTAATTTAGGGATGCTTTTCTTGATATTCTTAAGATGATTTTTTTTTAATAACTTATGTGAAAGCTAACATCTGTATGGTAAGACTAAATGAGTGGTATGCTCATAATAGGTTTTCTAGATGTTTTCTAAGTTTTTGTGTTAATGTGTGGCTCACATCCTAATTGAGTTAAAGCAGTCATTCCTATGATAACTGTAATTATCATGTGTTAATTTGATACTTAGAGTGAAAATTTTTACTATGTCTTTACTACAGTTAATTATTTGCCAAACTAATAAACTGCCATAATCAGTTTAGAAAAATGAACCTTCTGACTCTGGAGATTATTTACAATAAAATGCAACTACAGAGCAATCTTTCTTAAAAATAAGGGGACATACAGCTTTTTTAAAGTTGTGTTTGAATCATAGAACGGTTTGGGTTAGAAGGGACCTTAACGATGATCAACTTAATCAAACTACTAATTGTATTATTTTTTTTTATAATTCAGAAATTGAGTAATCATGAATCTTATTGTTCATACATCTTACATGAACTGTAGCCAGACCAAACTGTGTTAGATAGTAGCTAGGACATTATCAGGACAGGATGGGGTTTTTGTAAGCTGGAACAGAGACAATAACAAGGATCTCTCCTGATTTCCTTTAAATAGTCCAGAGAACCTATCAGTGTGTGAGCCTCTACAATTTAATGCCAGTTAAATTCAGAATTTTCTCATTAGCACACTACTCCAGATCCCTAGGGAAATCCTTTAATCCTTCAGTTCCAGCACTCAGCCCGTTTGTGCTGAACTCCCTGTCTGCCGCTCTTCTTTACACAACACTGTCCTTTCATTGCCTTGACCGTACGTATCTCTTTTACCTTGACTTCTGATACTGAGAACTCTGACGCTTGAGAAGTGGCTTTTCTTGGATTGCATGATTTTGTGGTAAAAAAATAGTAGATACTCTTTGCTGTTGAAACCCGTCTGATCTCTTTCTTCACCTACATTTGAGAACTTGGAGTATTAAAGCAAATGGAATTCAATCAGCTAGCTTGGGCCCTAAGTCTTCATAACAGTCATGATGCATTTGTGCTTATTTATTGCACAGAGACAAGTGATATTCAAAGCTTTCCTGTGAAAAGGAACCCTAGATAAAGAACTACAAACAAACACCAAAACTTGTTACAGAGACAGCAGTATTCCAGTGGTGAAACAAGCAGACTCTCCATGTAAACTCTTCTCAAGAACAAATGATGGCTCAATACTGGCAATCTTAACTGTGCAGTGAAGCTACCTTCTCACTTTCATCTTAGTTTGCTTCTTTGTCCTTCTTTGTGTACCTTCTTTTATAATTATTTCTAGACCAAAGCCTTTCTGGTCTGTTCAACAAACCATTGGCAATTTCCCCAAAGAATACAAAGAAATATGTTACTACATGCAGTATGTTATTGTCCTGAAAGGAAAAAAGGGGCAAAGAGGTCTTCATCCTGTCATGCAGCTTGAGGGAGGCTGAATAGCTATGTATGATTTCATCACTTGGAAGGCTCACAGTCATATCTGCTTCCACTGGGTCAGACAAAAGATGCATAATAAAGACATTATCAATATTCTGTGGCAGGAAGAATATTCAGTAGGTACTTGGCAGTTACAGAAATGCATCTTGGGAATCATACACTTATATCTCAACAGTTGGCTGACTGTTGTTGTCCTATTGGCTATCCACTGGCTTTCTGATCCCATATCCACTTCACAGACATTTTGAAATGGAACACAATATAAATGACATAGAAAATTTAGCTTGAACTGTACCCTACGCTAAAAGAGTAGCTAAAAACCTGTTTGTCCACAACAGAACAAATAAAATTAGGACCATCTGTTCCAGAAAAAGCATAGCTCAGAACCTCTGGTTAATGCTGCCTTTGTCAGAAGTCCTGAGATTTGTTTATCTCATACCCACAATTAATCTGGTTTTCAAGATAATATTAAGCACCAGGAAATCAGGGCCACTTTAGTGATAGTCCACTACTGCTAAGAATAGGTTTATCTGTCTGTACTTACTGCGTACGTCCAGATAGTCTGCCATCAACATTCCCATTTTCCTGGGCATTGTACTCCTCCCGCTTTGCCTCATGGCAGGAACACACAAGACTATCTGGCAAATTGAACCTAGGAAAAGAAGCCTCTGTTAAAAAAGAAAAGCTTTTCCATATTGATGCACAAAATACAACCTCAGAGATGTATGGTTTAAAGAATTTTGTCCCATCTCCTACTCTTAAACTAGACAAGACTGTTCATCCTCCTTCAACCCAGATGGCAGCAATGTCCATCTGGCATGTTTAAGGCCCAATTCCCCTCAGTGATGCCATGTTTCTATGTTACTTTCAAGACCATCTTTCCATGTCACTGTGACATAAACAAAGAAATGAAGATATAAACCAGCATACTTCAGACAAGCCGAGGGATATTGTAATGAAATGGGAAAGTTGCAATGATATTTTAATTCTATAACAATTAGCTTCCCCTGGAACATAACCTGAACATTTAGCACCACTTAGAATAGAATTTAATCTCTCATGATACCTTCATTTTTTTTAAAAAAAAAGTTAAATGGTTTTAATAGATGCATTCAAAGCTCAGCAATTTCATCCCAGAGGTTTTTTTCAAAAGTGTCACTCAGTGCAGTTCCATACACTGATCGTTGAGTCATGGACCTCTTCCCTTCAGGCAGCACATGTCATAGCTATAACCCCTGTAAATCAGTGGCTTTTTCAAAACCACAGAAATTAAGAAGTTTGTGAATAAGTACTCTGATCATTCTGAAACACCAGACTGCCAACTATCAGTTAGAAGCAATGCCTATGTTAAAAATATAATATTGAAAGACTCAGGGACTTACAAAACCTGATTTCTTCACTTAGTGCATTGGAAGGTGCTGCAATCAATCGTCTAGAAGTGATACTGATAGTCACTGAGGAATGTACTACAGTAAACACATTATAGCTATCTATCTTAAAAATACTGTACTCTTCACTGAGGTTTTTTT